GGAGTTGGACATTATTTGACCTTGTCCACCGCAACCTTTTCAGATCTATTGTAAGACAGTGTAACTGGGAATACCATCAACTCCACTTGAAGGTTTATGCTTTAATATTTTTAAGGCACTTAGTTTGTCGATCTGTCGAATACTTTGATGAAGTTATAGGATTCTTCCGAGATTAGAGGCTGTTTATTTCATTATTAACATAACTAACCTCTTAGACACTAGGAAAAAACTTTGCATAGGCATTTACAATATCTTGGGGATAATTGTATTCCACATCAAAGTTTAAGCACTAAGGAATCCTAGAGCTAGATTATTTAATTTGTATTAGACCAAAAAAGTTTTGTATCTTGTAAAATTGAATAATGTGCTTTTTGTAATTATTGATCATATGCAATTTTTAATTTCTGCATTGATATCTCGAGAAAACCAAGGTGGGTAGTTTCTAACAAAATTTTGAAAGATTAGAATATATAAATCAAAAATTGAATAAACTAGAGCATAAAATTGTCCCACAGCTTTATTTACATCATGAATTTCATTTAGAAAGGACCAATCTATCTGAGATAAATGAGAATATAGATGAGGAAAATTTGCTTTTCTAAAGTTTTACCTGTTCCAGTTATACTGAAATACTGGATTTGATTTTGGAAGGTAAGCTTCAATTCTTTGATATCTATTATTTGTATTTCAGCTGGCATTTCAGTCACCACTAGTGGATTATAAGGAGGATCTGCGATGCTGTCGTCTGATCCATAGGGTTCACTTTCAGAATCCGAATTACTGCTGTCACTATCTGTATACCCGTATCTAAGATGAGTCACGGCTTAATGATGTAATATCGACATTACTTTTGTTTGCATTAAGTCGTTTTCTATGAACAAAAATAATAAATATTCCTGAATTATTCTGATATAAATTTATAATTATTTACCTATTAACCTTTCTTCCATACTCTTATCGACTTTTCTACCAGTGTGCGCTGGAACATTTTGAAGTATAAAATTGTATGCATAAACTTCTGAAAAATGATCGGTTTTCGTCGATGTGGCAATACTAGATTGTTTGCTTCCATTACATCTTTTACATACATCCTGAAGATCGTCATCAGTACTGTTTTGGTTTAGGGTGGTTTTAAGGTTCGTAAAAATCGCAAAAATGCGATTTGTAGGACTGTTGTATGGCATACCTAACTACTTTTGTGCTTTTACACCTAAAAACTTGCAAGGGCTAATTATAAATACTCGGAAGAAGTTTAAAAAAAGTTGCCAAGAAAAATATAACAAAATAATTATGGAGAATAGGGTACATTCCAAAAAAAAAATGTAATGAACAAATTATATGAATTTTTTAATTACTTAGGTTGTAGGTAATTCAGAATAAGGTCGCAAATAAAAATATTTCTTTCCAAAAGTACAAAATGGATTTCAACTTATAAACCAAAAATAAACTCACCTGTGGAGGAAAAAAGTTCCGAGATCAAGGATATTAAACAGAACACACACAATACCAAATATCATCCTTTTGCTGAAATAAATCGTATTTTTTATTTGATATGTTAAATAACCTTATTCACTAAAATCGTCGAAATGCATTAAAAAAAATGTCAGTTACAAACTAAGATATAACAATTTTTTCCCAAAGCTAACTTATGCAGTCATAGACCGTCAGATGGTAACCGATTTAGGAGCCCCATTTTTGCATACAAGCCTCGAAGACGGTTGAAAATTACATCGGAATTGAGTAGAATAAAAGGAAATTTACGAGTGGCTCCTTAACAGACATATTTTCCGACCCCAAAATGCATTTATCCATTTGGGTCATTCAAGCCAATTATTTTTTGGACTACGTTTTCATACGTTCGATGGGCTTCTGGGGAAAAAATCTCGATTTTTCTTTACAAGATTACGCCCTTATTTCAATCCTATAGCCACTTACAACATTAAAGCCTTTGGTTTTCCGAAGCCTAGTTCTATTAGTTAATCATTTAGTGAACACAGCTTGTGTGAAAATATGGCCAAAAAAATATCTTTAATTTTAGTTGAGGAAAATCTAATTTTTCTTATGTTATCCCCAGGAGCCACTCTTAAATTTCCTTTCATTCTACTCAAAATCAATGTACTTTTCAACCCTCTTTGAGGCTTGTATGTGAAAATGGGGAACCTAAACTTGTCGCTGACGATCTAAGAGCAAAAGCCAAAAAGTTGCATCTGTCATATTTCGGCAAACGACTCTAACAACGCATGTAACTATTTTTCACATGAATGTAGGCACGTTTTCTAAATTATTAAGGAAATAAAACTGAAAATGAAAAAAGTTGAGATGTAATCCTCTTTTAAATGAATGATATTTCCATGCTCCTCGGTCTGTAGAGCCAAAACTACTTGATTTTTAAAATCTGTTTTTACAGAAAAATGTATATCAGAAAAGACAACAATTTAAAAATATTATGCAGGGTTCTCCAAGAAAGTGATACATATCAAAGTTGTTTTTTTAAATTTAATTTTATATTTGATTGCCCTCTTTTTCTATTATAACAATACCAAATAGTATGAGATTATACAGGGTATTTTTCACGCTACAACCAGTTTTATATGAAAATCGTATTAATTTCAATGGCCTGTATTTTGCAAAAGGAACAATTAGGCATTCCAACGACCTGTCAAAATGCTGTCTGTGGGAACTGATAGTTTAGATATGGCAACCCTGTGGGCCTGTTGTCATTGACTGGGCCAATGATACGTATATAGATTGCTCAAAGCGTGTCGTTTGCGAGCGGCCATATTGCCTGGAAAGTGTTTATTAATTTGAATCGGTTTAGCAAAAATGTGTTTTAAAACCAATTTCCAGTGTTTGAATATATTAAGAAAATAATTACTTACATTTTTACTTAAAGGCATAAGCTTATGTTTATTTTTAAAAACATGGATGATAAATCTTAATAACTATCTATATCAAATTACCAGACCTACAGCGTTGCCGTATCATAACCTATCATGTGTCTGTCATTGCCTACGGGCAACCACTTTGTTTGGAATGCCTAATTGAAAACCAATTTTTTTGCGATAAAAGGTTTTCGATATTAGTCAAAATTAATGCCGATGCACTACTTTTTTCAATTAGAAGCTAATCTGTACAGGATGATTCAAAAAACAGACATTGTTTTTTTAAATTGACCACTCTGTATTTTATATCACCATTTAAAAGTACCTTAATTAGAGTTTAATTTGAGTTAAGTATTTCCTATACCTCAAGTTAATAATTTTGAGAGATTTTTAAACCTAAATGACAAAAAAAATCACCAAAATAGTTTAATTTTTTAACCGAAAATAGAGTGTTGGTTATTAACTGATGAGAATTTAACCAGGTGTAATTTGTTATCAACTAAAAAAAGGTTTTAACAATTTATAATAGGACTAACATTCAGTTAACACTTTGATTGCTATATGATGAGAGTACCATATGGCCAGATGCGGCCGTTTTTTTTTTTTCGCTTAAGGCTATTATTTAGTATACATTCATGATTTACCTTTTATTTAATGATTGTTGTTTTTATGACACTTTTGACATGTCACGAATCCGTGCCATACGCGTGGGACGACAAGATTTATCATTCAGTGCTGAGCTCTACGACCCAGAATTTAATCTAAAATAAAACAAAACCTTAAAAAACATATTATAATAAGTACCAAACATACGAATTCAATAAACAAAAGATCAGTCCTAATAAAAAACAACAGAAAAAAAAACAAATAAATTCACTAGAAAACTGAAATAGCCAAAGAACCCTCTATAATGGCCAAAAGATCATCATTTGTAAGCATCTTCTGTTGTTTTCTTGTTGTACTAGCTGTTTTTCGCCCCAGACGGACCAGCTTCATTAGTGTCCATTTTGGCTGACGTGCGGAAAAAATGCGGAACGAATAATATTTTGGACGCCTGGGTACTTTTGCTACATGCTACTCCACGCACGATGCTCTCTAACGTTGGGCTTCCTACTAATCAAAATACAGACGGAATACGAGCGACACGGATCCGTGACACGAGTGTCCGGTAATAAACTTCGGCGTCACGGAGCCATGCCATCAGCACTGAAAGAATTAAAAATATAAACCAATAGCAACCAATCTAGACTCACTCCTTTATAATACCTACTTTAATCTAAGTTTATTATATTTTTGAGTTTACTTTGAAACCTAAATAATTTTTAAAAAATAAATATTCAACACTAATGACATTAGTAATGATGAACTATCAGTTTTTAGGTTTCAAAGTCAGCTCAAAAATATAATAAACTTATAATAAAATAGGTATATTATAAAGGAGTGAGTAAAGTAGCCAGTTTTTAATATGACCTTTAGTCATGAATAAGAGAAGTAATTCTTAGAAATCTGAGTTGGACCTTTGAAAACCACCTTCAGACCTCCATAAATATTATTGAAGGCTACTTAGATAATTTTTTCTAATTAACTAAAAGCTGTTATTAACCAGTGATCAGTAAAATTAGGGTATTTTGTGAATTCTTTTTCCCATTTAAATTTAAAAATCTAAAAATTATTAACTTTAGGTATAGGGAATGCTTAACTCAAATGAAACTTTAATTAAGGTATTTTTAAGTGGTGATATGAAATACAGGGCGGTGAATTAAAAGAAAAAAAAAATATGTGTGGAAAATATATGTATTTAGTTCATCCTCTTAAACATTTACACTGGTGATACAGTAGGTTGCACAAAATAACTGGAAAAAGTCTGTAATAACTAGATTTGAAGCATGTTGGAATAGAGAATAAAGAGACCTTTTAAATGAGGCATCACGAGCCCCTACTTCCTATTTACAAATTTAGGGGTTACAACTTTCACTCAAAGAGGTGAAATTTTTACTTTGCAGGATGTGATTTTATAATCTAAAATTGAACTACCGAATTTATTCCATTTGGATTTTACATACTATAAAAAAAGTAATCTTACCATGTTCTTTTAAAATATTTAATTATTTTCTTTAGCTCATATTGTCGGTAAATATGAAGACAAAATATTTGACGAAAGAGATGTATCATTCACAGTAGGCGAAGGTTCTGATGCTAACATAATCACAGGGCTTGAAATTGCCATTCAAAAATTCAAAAAAGCCGAAACTTCCCGACTCATCATCAAGCCAAAATATGCTTTTGGAAAATCCGGATCTCAAGTAAATGATTTTTTTAATTTGATTACGAGCAAACCGAATCTCTCGCGAAAAGATAAATGTGAGGATTTTCAAACATAAAATTGTATTTATGAGCGCGCCACTGGGAATACTTCACGATGTTAGTGTCTACAGAGGCATTTAAGAAAAAAGGCGGGAAACGTTCCCATTTAAGAAGCAGCAAATTTTCATAGATTTTTTAATTTTCTTTTAAAAATTATCAAAATACTTTTCGAAGGTTTAAAAAAACATCGTGGTTTCTCCACCCTAAGTTTTGTTATTATTGGCATTTCCTGAAAATTTCACAAAATCGGACTAAAAATAAAGGCCCAGAAGGAATTAGACATTTTTAAGCTGTTCGGTTTGCTCTTAATTTAAAGTTATATATTTTTAAATGTAATGAGCTAGAATATATAATTAGTCATAATCAAATGTCATTTGACTTAAAAAAACACTAGGTATAGGGTATTTTTGAAATACATGTACATATTTAAACAGGTTAATTATTGAACTTGAATGCAGAAAAATATTTTTAAAAATACATGTTTATAAAATTATTTTGTGTATTAATCGACTTTAAAATACACCACTACCATGTTGAGGTAGATTAATCATAATTAATTATAAATTATTTCATTTAAATAGGTCACTGTGTTGAGTTTAGTTCAATTCTAATAGTTGTCTAGTGGACCTATTATTGACAATGTTGAAAAAGCATTTTTATATTTGATTTTTAAAATTGTTTTTTTAATTAGAAATAGTATAGTAATATAACATTTAAATTTGACATAAGTTCGATTTTGGACATCATACATTACTACCCGTTTTAATATAAACATACATTTCCAAAAACACCCTGTATAAATAAATCTAATGGTGTTAATTCGATTTTGTTTTTGTTAGGAGTTCAACATTCCTCCCAACGCAACCGTCGAATATACAGTTACGCTGAAAAGCTTTGAAAAAATGAAAGAGAGTTGGGCACTGGACTCTGCCGATAAAATTGAGCAGTCTAAACTTTTCAAAGAAAAAGGAACCAACTATTTCAAGGCTGCGAAATACGAATTAGCTCTTAAATTGTACAAAAGGATTCAATCTTACCTCGAATCAGATACAGGTGAGTTGTTTTATTCACATCTAAATCTTTTACTTTTTTTATTTGTTTTGAAGGGAAGAATATTGTGAAAGTCAAGCGGGAGGTAAAAGATTAACCCATCGCATTGCTATGAAATCATTTATTTTTTATGCATTGTCATTATTTTTTTATCTATACATCTTAACCATATTTAATTTATTTGAAAACTAGAATTAAGTTTTTTTTTAGTTTCTTTATAATTATACCATATACAAATTCAAAATCTGTACCACATAAAGTAACTTCTCTCTATTTGAAGGTAGGGTTTTATCAAAATTTATAATTAGTTGTTTATAGTTAAACTAACTTTGTTTAAAATCCTTTTCAGATTACCACTTGTCTTCTTAATATATAATAACCTGTACATTGATTGATTTCGGCAAATTCACAGTCATATTTTCTCTCTCTATCTTGTGTATTAACTGTTAAAACTGCAAAGATACCTTTCAAGGGCGACTCCAAGAAGAATTTGCGGGGGGAGGGGGGAATTGCCTATAGCCATTCCCTTTTTAGTCAATATTTTTTAGATACTGATACTGAAGAAGATAGAAAATCTTTGTTGCTAGCCTCCCATTTGAACATAGCTCTGTGTCAATTAAAACTCAAAGAATACTTTGACGCTAAATCAGCTGCTACCTCTGCCCTTAAGCTGGACCCTAACAATGAGAAGGCTTTGTTCAGGCGCGGTCAGGCATTCATTCAATTGGGAGAACCCGAATTGGCCAGTCACGATTTCACCAAGTAAGTTTTGTCCACATGTTCAATCGATTCATAAAAAAAATATGTGCGTAAATAAAGACGCTCCACGTTGGGCAGGCACCATTTGCGTTACCTCCAAATATTTTCCTATTTTATTTTGCCTCTTAATTTTTAATCTAATAATTTGCAGACTTTCTTCATCTAATTTGTTATAAATAAGTCAAAATTATGTATTTTATTTTTTATTCTGTTTACTGATGATGATAATAATAATAATAATAATAATACTACTTTTCCAATTTCACCCCCTTACGAGTGAAAACATTATTAGTATTGTATGATAATAATAATAATAATACTACTTTTCCAAATTCACCCCCTTACGAGTGAAACATTATTAGTATTGTATTAGTTTAAAATCTTTAGATATGCCTAATTGTCACTAACAATTCTTTACTGCTTGGACTTATTAGTTACTTCAAGGAGCATCTGAGTTAATTACCAAGTAGGGTATAGTTACTGACGAAATAATTTTACTTGGATGCGAAAAGACATGTGTAGTTCGATAATATGTCAAGTAACACTTAAAATTGACACTTTTAATTTCAATAGGTGCCTAGAAATTGATCCAAACAACGCCGCTGCTAAAACCCAATTGGCCATTTGCACCAAGGCGCTTCAAGAGCAATTGAAGAAGGAGAAGAAGATCTACGCCAATATGTTTGATAAGTTTGCTAAAATGGATACACAGGTGAAGGCTAATTAGTTTTTTTTCTAATATTACTTTCTATGATCGAATATGTTACTTTTATTCCAAAATAAATTAGATGTTTTTAATCATGTGTTTTATTTTAAATTACGTCGTTCATTAAGTAAAAATGAGTGCCGTAATGTGTTAGTATGAGGTGTCCTAAGTTGGGACTGTAAGCAAAATATACAGGAAGTCTAGGAATACTTTTTTTGTTCCATACTGTTTTATTCCACAAGAAACTGTTCAAATATTTTCTTGCTTGGAAACTGCAATTTATTTCTTGATTTACAACCAACATAAAATAAATTCTTTTAACGATTTTTTTGGTATCACAAGGACCAAAGTTTTCCTTATAAAAAACACATGGAAATAAATTGTTTTAGGAAATTTTGTACCGGTTTGTAAATAAATAAAATTTTGCAGAGAGAAGAATTTGAACAAAGGAAACAACCAAACGTCATGAGCTCGGTAGGCGAATGGGGGCAAGAAGACAGAGATAGGGAACCCAGTGAATTCGAAAAAGAAAATCCAGATATTTTGCTTTTGAATAAGACAGGAGAATTTAAGGATATGTAGATCTTTTTTTAATTAAATGAATAAGTAATTGTTATAGTTTTTATATGTCACAAAAAACCTATAATCCCGTCTAACTTAGTCAATATTTATACACTGATTTATTTTTGTTTCCAGTGACCTTCAGCATTTGGTTGTTATAAATGGTGTGTTAAATCGTGTAAATGAGTGGTGGTGTGCCAATTACCTTAAAATTAATTCATTAAAAACAGTTTGTTAATAGGGAACACCAAATAATATGATTTTAACAATAATAATTTGAAAATGTTTAGGAAATCAAGAAATTGAATTAGTAAAGAAAATAAAATATTTTAAAGATCATGCCAACTATATCATTAAAACATTTTTCTTTTAAAATTGGTTGTTTATATAGAACTTCAAGCTTCCTCAATCAGTGGACCAAAACAATTTGTATAACACATTGAACCTTCGACATTTGACTTATTGCTTATCAATCTGACCCACTATTGCCGCGTTTGAGAATCCACATCGGATGCATTTTTTACATCTCGAGCGTTTTTTTATCCACATCTGTCACATTACATTTACGTACACTGAATCACACGATCAAAGATTTACTACATCTCAGATGCATCCGATGTGGATTCTCAAACGGGGCATATGTGGCGCTTTCATCGATATCAAACAACGCAGCGGGAAATTTAAGAACCTTATAATAAATGTATGAATATTGACTGCACTCTTTATGTTCTTGTAAACAAATTTAAACAATGTAATTACGCTAAATTATTTATTAAAAAGAATACTACTTACAGTCTATTATCGATTAATTATTGTAAATCTATATTCATGACAAATATTTTTTAATTTTTGATCGTTATTTGTAACATTACTTTTTTGTTTTTATTTTCCAAACGATTGGCCAATGGTGTCTTATTTAAAAATGTTAAGTGCAAACTCAATAATGGGAATTCATATTTTTTCTTCCTATATAAAATATTCTTTCTAACGTTTTAAAGCCATTTTCTTTTTCTAAAATAATACATAAAAACCTAATTTTTTACAAAAATTGGTTACTATTTGTGTTACATGACTAGATCTTATTTTGGTTAATTAAAGAATGCCACAATGAGGTTAAATTTATTCATGTGGCATGTGTTACTAATGCAATACGTTCTCCGACTTATTGTAATATTACAAAATATAATTATGGTCCTCAAATTTCACACAAAAGCAGCTACAGCCAGTTCGCTTAGTTCATTTAGAGGATAACAATCATGAACTCAAAATTTATATTCAGGATTCTTCGATATACATAAAACTGACATGTATATTTACAAACTGTCCACTCCTGTACACGTCTACTGTATGTCTCAGCGGTCCAAGGCTTGCTGTCGGAAGTATATTAAACCTTCATATACACTACAGACCATCTGTTTTTTATTGTTTGAAAGAATTTTCCGCTTTCGATGTAAATTAGTTGGATCCGCTACTGTATCCATCTTAATGCTGTTAAGATAAAAACCATCAATCATATAGGGACCGTGCGTGAAACATAGAGGCAGCACTACTGCCGAACTTAGCCCTCTCTAGTGTTTAATTTTAGAATTAAATGGGGTAAACATTGCAAGTAAATAATAAAGGGTATTTTTTTAAATATTAAATATAGTTAAAAATAGATACCGGCCCGTACCAAACAATCGTGTACATGGTCAAAATGACGTAAAATGTGAAACATTATTAAAATCTGGACATGCATATACATTTTAAGCAAAAAGATTTAAATGGCTAAGTGACAATAAATTGGGAAGTTGTACCTTAAACAAGTGTATCCAATGTTAAAATATCGGTATTTAGTAACACTGAATTTAAAAGTATTACAATAACATTTAAATAATGTAAATTAATAAAAAAGATTGATAATAATAATTATAAATCTTTTTATCTTTATGTTAATCGAAATGTCATTCATCCACTGACGTTTATGAGATGTTCAATGATACATATTATAGATTGCTCACCCATCTATAAAAAAATTATGAAAAGCGGGTTGCAATGTGCCTTTCCTAGTGCTCACTAAATAGAGCCGTTCTAGCCCAAATGTGTTTTAAAATAAAATTTCAGCATTTTAATCTTTAGAAAAAGAAAATAATTAAAGTTTTACTTCAAGACATGTCATTATGTATTTGGAAAGTTGAGTTTTCATGTAGTTAAATAATATTAAGAGATCTAAACAATTTTTATAACAGATAGATATAAATAATTTTAGACTACTATTTCAGAAACAATTCTACATAACATACATAATTGCAATATGTAATACAATTTTGAAAAGGTAATGTAAACAATTTTGATATGAGGTATAAACTACTTTGGGAAGAGTTGTAATTGGACACTTATCTATTATTCTGAATAATGTTTAATGGTAATGTCACTAAAAAATTTTACAAAAATCACTGGATTTTTAATATTTTAAAGTTTGTTACAATCTCTTTTGACAGTAATTGCAATGTATTATTTATGATGTTTATTTTAATAATAAATGAGAAATAGTTAATAAATTGTAAAGAGGGCCGTGATATTTTTGTCAAATTGGACATTCTTATTTCATATTCTACATTAGTTTTAATCAACAGAATAAACCATTATCTGTAAAATGATATTTATATAAAATGTTCATTTAAATATGTAAAAATCTTAATGACAAGAAAACACTAAAGATTCTAATTTCTAAACCGGTTCTGTAAATGATTTCTTTACAACTAAGTGCTCAAAATTGATAAAAGCTAGATAAAAAGAAAACTTTGCCCAGTGAAATACGCTTTTCGTCGTCTGATTTACATATGGATAAGCAATCTTTGTAATTATGTATATCATTGGGTGTGAGGCATAATTGTGCTCTGTGGAAATTTATAAAATTTATTTACTATCGAATGAAATCCAGGTTTCCAAAGTGATGTGTTTGTACATCCACGGATGCAACAAGTTTTTTCGATATTGATATTACGAAAATAATTCGACTTCATTTTATTAATAATTATTAAACAATAAATACTGTATAAAACATTAATAAATACCCCCCATAAAGTTCACATTTTTGTCACCAGTTAGCGTTAAAGTCATGACGCACGGTCCCTATTAGGCATTCCAAACAAATGAATTGCCAGTGGGCAGGTTTGGTATATTTAAGGGTGGCGACATATGGTGTATTCTATCTACTTTACGTAAAATCATGAATAATGGATTACATTTAAATATTTTATGTCAAACACAATAAAAATAATATTTGAAAAACCCACCTATACATTTCTTCATAAATTGGCAGGCTTGGCGAGTACTACTTCGAATAAAAATAGCGTCCAAGTTGCAAGATTATGTCGCTACCCCCGTAAATATACAAGAATTTCCCACTGGCACCTATTATTTGACAGGTCGTTGGAATGCCTAATACCTACTACCATTAGTCCACTCAAATTAAACTTAGAGAAAAAAATTGTTAACAGGATTTTGATATATGAAACGTAGCGTTTTAAAATTTAAAACCCCCGACTAAAAAAATGTATTTGTCTGAATCTTAATCATTCTACTTAAATGTTTGAAGCAATATTATATATAGAAAATTAAGAATCCTGGTCAAAAAATAAAAAACAGTTTCTTTTATATATTTTTTTTCCATACAATTCTATGGTGCTATCAGTTGTATTTTTGTTTTTTTTTTTAATTGAAACGAATTATAACAATTTAGGAATAAATCATTGTTGCTATTGTTTTTCACCAGTTTTAGCATGTTTTTTATTCGTGACTATATATTTTGTTTATTTTATCAAAAACTACATGTCAAAACGAAAAAAAAATCTCAAAATATTTTGAATTTTTAAATTTTTTTTTTGCTTATTTAAGACATACAAAGGTATAATTTCACCAAATTTTATCAAAATTAAATTATTTTTGAAGAAATGAAAAGTAAAAAACCTAAAAAAAATTGCAAATTAAACGATTAAAATACAGATTATATACCAATAATATCATTAAGCTAGGGCGTTTCGATATTATTCTACTGAAATGCTGATTTTCTTCACATGGAATGTTTTAAGATTATGCAGTACATTGTTCCACTTAAAAAAAAAAAAATTAAGCGAAGCAATAAATACGGCACCCTATCCTATATAGGCATATAATTTTCGATATCTTAAATGGATGTACATTGGATATATTAAATGTCTATAGCAGATGTTCCAAAACTATTTTTTTTTTTTTTTCATAGACCCCTTTCAAAATGTTGCTGGATCACTACCAATTTCTAAATCTCGAAAAAAAAAAGTGAAGATTAGATCTGTATGTGGAAACTTGCGCTGTGGCCGAGTTTTAACGACGAATTAACAGTTTTAGAAAAAAAGTTTAGAATTGATTGCTTGATAGGGTTAATTATTTGATAATAAAGTCTACTGAACAAATTTTCTATTAAATTTTAATTGATTGTGCTGTGAGTGGATGTCAAAAAAGCAAAGTTGGCCAAACGAAAAAGTGACTCCATTCAACTTTACTTTTTTGAAATCTACACCCAGACAGCACACCAAATCCTTTGGATATCTACTGCACATCCCAATACCTACTGAATGTCCAGTCCATGGTAGATATCTATTTTATATCCATGATATGTAATTTATAGATACAAATGTCCATAAATAATAGTAATTATATAGCAAATTATTAAAAAATTACGCCATTGTGGCTAATAGTACCGTTCAGATTTTTAAAATTAATTTTTTAAGGTGTATTCAATATCCCATGGACATCCACTAAATATATCAAAATCTAGGCGCAAACGCAAACCATCGTGGATATCCACTAGATGTTATTTGATTTTGCTTACTAAGTATAGATGGCGATACCACTTTCGCATCTACTCATGCTCGACCCGCCGTAATTGAGTTCGATCGAAATTTGTGTTCTAATCAGACTCCATTAGAGACTGGAGTCGAGAATTTCCATTTATTGCTGAAGAGTCCTAATAAGGATGACTCTCCTTAGTGGGCAAAATCAAAGGCAGAGTGTTGAAAATATTTTGAGT